ATAATGTCAATTGATAATATTTAATCATTTTTATTAAATTAAGAGGTGATGATTACACAGCCTAAGTTCCGCCTATAGTCTGATAAATTCCATCTTAATTATGTTAATTCCAACCATGTCCTTTAACGTCGATTCCTCCACTACCGCCTCCACCTCCACCTCCACTAGAGACTGGAATTTTCCTTCACCCTCTTTCACCCACTCCTCGTATCGTGATTTCCGCTCCGCCTCCAGAAGAAGAAGATTCTCCACTTATCCACATGCTCCTAGACCCACACACTCTCAATTCAACACCCAAATTCTAAGCCAAGATTCTAATTCTTCTGGTTCAGTTTCCAAGTACTCCGGTTTAAGACGACGGGGTTTTGAGTTTGGCTATGATCAGCGGGATGACGAGTCACCGTTACCACCTGACGACGCTAGTGCTTCGCAATCGCTGGAGAAATGTGATGGCTACCGATTAACATGTCCTCTTTGCCGGGCTTCTATGCAGCCTCGCCGCTGCCGGAACCACCGCATTGGGGCGGTGGAGTGTATGCTCTATATTTATTTGGGGATGACGATGATGATCTGCTTCCTTGATCCTCCAATCATTTCTCTCTCTTTTCGTTGAATAATGCTTTACGTTTGGAACTTGAGATTTTGACGTATAATTTACGTTTGAAATTATTTAATTAGCTTAAAGTGTATTTTTCAATTTTGTTCCTTACGGGCCGTATTGGGCCTAATTTCCCCACTTGATAATGTTCTAAATAAATTCAAACTCTTATGTTAAAAATTTGGCCCATAAATCATTGGGCTCAAGAAGTTTAGGGCATGAGTTCTGCTCGAAGACTTGTTTCTACGTAGAAAATTAGCATTCTCTCAAATTTTAACAATATATAATCAATGTCATGTCAAAGTGTCTTGATTGCATCGCTTCACTGTTTGCTAAAATTAATCAAAATGGCATATTATTATGTATGGCAATGGGGCATTAAGCTTAACTCTTCGAACAAGTGTGTAAAAGATAAATTAGTCAAAAGTTTGTAGTGACCAAAAGTCACAAGGAATTTGGGTAGCACAAGCCATTTTTCTTGAAAAATGGGTGTGCTTGAGAAATGTTTCTAAGAGCACGCTATTAGAAAATGGCTTTCGAGAGCGCATTGCAAATATACACAAGTTATCGTCTGATAAAACAATAATTCAATGAAAAAAAAGTTGTATGAAAAGACGGTACAAGAAAACCTAAATCTTTCGACCAAGCATCTATGTGAGCAATTCAAAACCAAACAATCCCAACATACCAAATATATTCTTCAAGTTAAGTATAAATTCGAAAAGTATTATAGTCAGAAGTCCTCAAACTTTACAAAATACAACACTTAGGTCCCCATTTAAATTTTCCATTGGCATTCCCATAGTTTTAAATTTCGGTATAAATAGGTCCCTACCATATATTATCGGTATATTTTATTGTCAAAATCTTTTAGGCTTCATGAGTCGTGAATTATATCTAGAAAGTGTAACAAAAACCCATCTACTCGTCAAATCACAACAAAACTCTGACTTCGATTTAGATTCACGTGGATCCGTCAATATTTCTATTTTTGACCAAACGAGTTCCATTTCCGTAGTGGAATCCAACCGTACTAGATACTATCACTTCCACCAATAATCCAATATCATAATAAACAGAAGTCGTGTATCTACATACTAATAAAATTCCCGACAACTTCACACTGAACGATATTGTAGAAACATAACTGTAGGCAATCTCACTTCCTCTTTCCCAAAACCCTTAAAAATCAGTAATCACCATATCGAAACCCCCATCGTTTCCAATTATCTCGCGCACAGACGAACCCTGAAATGGCCGCCACTATAGCCAGGTCAATTCTGGCCGTCCGATCAACCGGAGCCACCGCTTCTCTCCTCATCCCAAGACGTCTATTCTCTTTCTCTGTTTCCAAACCCGGTTTCATCCGCCCCGGATTCGGAACCTGGTCCTCCACCCGCTCCGCCACTCCCGCCGCCTTATCCCACTCTCTGCAGGTTACTTCTCCTAACTTGACCCGGTACAACACGATCAGATGCCGAGTCAATAGGTCCGGGTCTTCTTACTCGCCACTGAACTCGGGGTCGAATTTCGGTGACCGCCCACCCACGGAGATGGCGCCACTCTTCCCCGGATGTGATTATGAGCATTGGCTTATTGTCATGGATAAGCCTGGCGGTGAAGGGGCGACTAAGCAGCAGATGATTGATTGTTATATTCAAACGCTTGCTAAAGTTGTTGGAAGGTATATATTTGACTTTTCATCTAATTGTTGTTGGATATTTCTTAATACTTAATAGCCTCATATTTGGTAATATTAATTGCTATATTCACATTTTAGGTGATGATTAACATGCATTTGCAGTAATGTTCTGACAAATGGCATGTTTGGTTAAGCTGAAAGTTTATTTATATGTACTAAAAAGTAAATAAGCTTCAAAATAAATAATTTCTTTTGTAGAAAAATGTTGGAAATAAGTAAGTTTTGGCTGTAGGGTTGGGTTACTTTCATAAAAATAAGTTTTTTTTTACTTGAAATTAAGAAAACCGTAACCATACATGTTTGCCTATAGAAAGTTAAAGCATTATCACCATTTTTTGTGCTGTACATGGTTAATTGGAAAGTTTTTGGATTTAGAAAAGTCAGTATCTTGCTGGCAAGCATAATGCAGTAGCTTTTAATAACAAGTCGGTTGATCGAGGATGGAAACTGTGAGATATGAAGTAATATCATCCTTGTTTAGTGCAATGCATTTTTTGATATTTTATATTGTTGGATACTTATTCCTGGGTTATGGATTGTGTCTTTGTGGTTTTAATAGCGAGGAGGAGGCTAAAAAGAAGATATATAATGTGTCATGTGAGAGGTACTTTGGATTTGGATGTGAGATTGATGAGGAGACCTCAAACAAGCTTGAAGGTTAGTTCTTGCCTCTTGGGAATTGAT